CTGCTCTTCCGTAGCGCAGCTCCCCCTCCCTCCGGCTGAAATTATGAATGTAAGGTATAGTAATCATAGATAACACGGCAGGGTCCGTTACAGTTTGTTTTCATCTGATTTCAATTAAACAAAGTCTTGGCTTTCAGAATATTAAACTTGTTTCGGCAAATTTAGATGATAAATACAACTATGAAGCTTGTAACGGCATATTTACAAGCGGAGAACGGAGTCATTTAACGTCACAGCAAGCATAACAACAGCCGGTGTTTCTCGTGAGTGTTTTCCCCGGGAAACAAACACAATATACACAAACGCAAAAATACACAAACACACACACACACATACATACACACACACTCGCGAGCTTCCCCCAGACCAGTAATCCAAACGGAAATATTTTCCCTCCGGACTATTTTGATCATTTGCTCCGCTAATAATCAAGCAGATCGATGGATTCCAGAGAAGAGGAAACTTTAAAGGCCTTTTTCTCAAAATGATGACTCGGTGACAGTCATTATATAATGTGACATATTTTGCTTAATATTTGGAGTACAAAAACAATCTTGATATCATTAGAAAGCTAGTAATCTCCTCTTTCCAACAGTGTATACAACTCAAAATGTGTCTTCGGGTCAATGCGACTGATTTCGATAGAGCAGGTCACATATCATATATGATTTTGTGGCATAAGCCATTTTCTACAGGCACATTTAAGTAATTATACTTAAAGTGGACCTATCATGCTATATTTGAATAATATAGTGTAGGACCATACCTATATAAGGCATCTTTCTACTTTTTTTTTTTCAAAATACCAAACAGATCATGCATTTTAGCCATGCCTCATTTCGCTCAATTTGACAATTTATAGCTCTGTTTTTGCAAGGGTTGATTCTGTGAGCAACAGCACCATCTAGAGGCCTGGCATATGTACTACAGCGTCTCCAGCGCTTTCGAACGGCAATGGCCGTGGTTGTCTCCTCCTGACTGGTGGAGTTGGCCCAATAGCCGTAGCGCCACCGTCCTGACGTCAGGAAAGTGTTCAAATCTGGATCAGTTTTTATCAGATCCGTTGCAGCCCCTTTTTTAGAGATTTGGGTATGGAGGAAAATAGAGAGGGTTGTGTTTTCTGACACTTGGTGAGTTCCCTGGAACACCGGGGACACATATTCATGTATAAAAGACGTACCAAAGTGCATTTTGCATGATAGGTCCCCTTTAATAATTAAGTAGAACCTCTGTATCATTGTACATTTAACCAAATGGACTGAAATATTGTCAGTTCAAATGTATGACACAAGGTTATTGGAGCAATTTTCCCTTTTAGATGAAACTTACTGAAAGCGTTTTAACCACATCCTGTTGAAAATCATTTAAACATTGCTAAATAACACATTTAGCACATGAAGTGTTAATGCAGGGGTTCATGCAGGGCTCTGGGAATACATTTGACAAGGTTGCTTACATAATCGAGGAGAGGAAAGGCATATCATTATATTCTTGCTTGCAACAGCAATTCTACAGCAGTTCAATGATTCAGGGTTTTCAAGCGTTTACATTCACACCACACAATCGTGTTACCGCTCAGAGAAATGCACAGGGCACGCTAACCAGCCATCAATCTATCACTGGTTAGTAATGAAACAGAAATGTGCACGCATTTGGAAAAACAGGCAACATGCAGCGCTGGCAGTTGGGCTTGTAAAGGCTATGAAACACAGCTGTGAGATATGGCCACTGTGCACAACCCACATAGATCTGAAATACAGGGCCAGTAAAAGAGGATATAAAGGTGTAGCGGGAAGTATGTGATGGAGTCCAAGATACAAAATAAAAAGTGTGTGTGCAATAAAGAGGGAGATGTGCATGTCAGGGAGAATGATGTATAGGCATGGGGCCGTTTATCTGGACCCTGGACCCAGATGTCCTTTTAGCCCGACATCTGGATTCTGTTGCTTTCACTACTCTGTTATTTGTGTCACATCATGTTGTCCTCACAATATTAAGGTAATTTATCCTAAAAAATTACTTGTATGACATTGACGAACAATTCATACAGTATGATTGTTTTCTGCTTTGCCACCTTAACAGCTTATACTCAACCACTTGATTAAGTTCCCCTGATAATAATAGTGTAAGCTGTACCAAGAGTCCAGCCTTTAACATTAAAACAAGCTTGTGATTGTCTGATAAGGACAGTCTCTTTGTGCACCCCTCATCTGTATCTATCCATCTTGTTATGAAATCATCAAAGAATATTGATGAAAACTTAAGACTTTTAAACAAAAGATTCAAAGCCATACAGCTAGTTTTTATCATGCGAAGTTCACAATGCAGTTGAAAATTGTTTTCCCTTCCACTCATAGTGAACATCCGTCCTAAATTAAAGGGGCAAAACCACACCTACATGTATTATGTGATGTCACTATATTTAATCAATACAACATTTAAAACAATAATTAACATAAACACAGGGAAATAAATGGATACAACTTCATTATATAAGCATCTCCCCTGCAGGGTTGGGGTAGTTACTGAAAAAAAGTAATGAATTACACTTTACTAGTTACTTAAGAAAAAATAAGTAATACCTTACTTTACTAAATTACTCACTGCTTAAAGTCATTAATTACACTAGTTACATTACTTTAGGACTACTCTGTAACATCACCTGGATTACATTACTGCGTGACCGACAAATGTAATCTGATTACCGTAGCGCGTTACTTTGTAGCGTGTAACCCCCCAACACTGACATCCTGCATCATTCCCTCCCTATCCTTCCCCTGTCTTCATTCCCTGATCCACTTGATAGTGCGAATAATAATCACCATGTGCGATCCATCTGTTGTTGGACAAACATCAAATGTGTGATTTCTGCCAGATTCATTTGGCGAGACATCACCTTCAGCTGAGGGTGAGCCAGCAGCAGAGAGCATGCTGGGGGCTGTCACAGCAGATGCTTCCAGGCGCTCCAGCCTCTCCATCCTCCTCACACTCACCTTGCCTCACATCTGCTCTGTCTGGTCCTCTTCCAGCCTCCTCCTTCCATCCTGCCCTTTATCCCCTCTCCCCTCCCCTCCGTCCCACCCTCGTGGTATAAACCCATTAGCTGCACACTTGTGTTATGTAAAAGCTGAGGTTTAAACACTGTATAGAGACTGCAGAGGGCTGTGGCAGTGATGCAGCCCCCCTAGAGCATCCACCCTCTGTGTCTAATGGGGTTATTAATAGTTAGGATATCACTCCCTTGTTCATATGTAAGTAACTTGTTGTTCAGTCAGCTGACAAGAATTCCCTCACTATTCATGTAGGTAAACAGTCCCACCCGAAAGTATATTAGAGAATTTCTCTTTCAAAAGTGATCTATTATTATTAACCCTCCTGTTGTGTTCGGGTCAAATCTATCAATTTTACTACTTACATCAGTCATAAATATAGTGTTTCACATTGATTGCTTCAAGGTCTTATGATATCCTCCACAGTAGGCATTTGAACATTATAAAGTTGCTGATCAGCAATGTGGATTAGTCAACTTTGTTACACCTATTGTGTTCCCGGTAAAAAATTACTACCATAGGAAATGAATGGGTTACCCTAGATTATGTTCCTCCATCAGATAGGACACACCCCCAAATAGACAACCATTTGGTACTTTGGAATACATTTTCAGTATCTATTCTTTCAATAGGGTGATTTGGTTTTGGTTAATGTTTTTTGTGTTGATGTTAAATTTGACCGGAACACCAAAGTATAGGGGGAGAAACAAACACGAAAGGAGGGTTATAGGATTATACATTTGCATCAAATGTGGCAGCAAGTGACAATTCCTGAATTTTCAAATATAGTGTTACACAGGATATCCATTGAAGAAAAAATATTTAAATCAGCAGAAGAGGTAATATTGATTAGTAACAAAAAGTTGTGATTCAGTGGTAATGTTGTGACAACTTAGAGAGGCTTAACAAAATAAAATTCATCACAGTGAATAATTTGTGTTTAAATGAATGAAAAATAGAACTTAGACTTAAGGTAATCATGGACCTGTTTCTTTCCAGTTAATTCGAATTAGGAGCACCTCTATGCATAAAGGCAGGGATTTAAAGCTGGATCCCAGATCAGCCATTCAGTGAATTTAGTGTGGAGCTGTTTGGTGGTTGGTAATGAATTCTGCAGGTGAATGAATACTGACGAGATTCTGCTTTCTGTGTTTTATCACATTTAGCAGTCTCCACCAGCCCCATGCAGGTGTGCAGAACAGTTAGCGCCCAACATACAGCTTTTGAGAACCTCATTATGACAATGAGTCAGTTTCAATTATGATTTATTATTATTATTATTATTATGCACCGGTTTTCCCCTTCTACTCCAGTAGGACTCAGGTGAGGGTGTTGAACTTTTCCTTGTACATGTGATGTTTTGGTGTTGTTGTTTTTTTGTTTTGTTTCTTTCCGTTAACTGTCAAGTGGGAACTAAGTTTTTTTTTTTGTAAGTTTTTGTGTTTCTCTTATTTTCCTACGATACTGTTATGATTGGCTGTGAATAAGAAAATATGAAGGACCATCTATTTGTATTTATTTTATTTTTAGAAAGGGGCAGGTAATATATTATTTTCTTCTCCCTGCTCCTTTCCGGGTATGGTGTGTTTATAGAGACATGTTTTGTAAATAATTGTTATACATTAAGTTGTGCATACCATGAACGGAACAAATAAAAATGAAATGAAATGTATTATCAAACGTACCTATTGTCCTCACAGCAATCATTCTAATAATAAATAGTGAACCAAAAAAGGGTGCATATTTATATCGTGTTGGTGTGGTTGTGTTACTGCTGCTGAGTGTGGTTTAGTTAAATCCTAAATCTTTCTATACAGTTACACTTCTACCACCAATGCTAATGACGGTAATTTGCTTTTGTGCAGTTTTAAAACGCTGCTACATCACTGGCAAGATTCCCTCTTACTCATTCAGTCCCTTTCCTTATTCTCTTGTCTTCTTTTGTTTCAGAAACCCTGACAAAGGTCTTCAGTTCCTGATCTCTCGAGGCTTCATCCCAGACACACCCATCGGCGTCGCCCACTTCCTGCTGCAGAGGAAGGGCTTGAGCCGGCAGATGATAGGAGAATTCCTCGGAAACAGCAAGAAGCCTTTCAACAGAGATGTCCTAGAGTGAGTGGCACACATTATTTCCATGTTTTAAGATAAACTAAACTAAGATAAACCTGCTCTTCAAACAGGTGATTCTCCTACTAAGCCCTAGTAACAACACACTAGTATCCAGTATACATCAGGCATAGATGTGCATAGGATGTATTCATTTTTCAACTTTATCTCAGGGTCAGATGATTCCCTGAATGAAAAAGGAATACAACAAAATCAGTATCCGCTTTTCAGAGCTGTTATTTTTGCAGACGTTGACTTTTGATTACATTTTTCACCCTAGTAAACAAACACAATACAAACTGAAATTGGAGTGTCACGCTCCAACAAATGATCCCTCATCTAACGCTTCAGATTGTAAGTCGAGTCAGAACTGTAGGAGGAAGAGAACAAGCTGATAAGACAAAAATAAAATAAAAACCTTTACTGCCCTTCTTAGTTTTGCTGCTTCTTTTATCACATTGGTATCAAAAATGCATTTGCTATTGTGTTTGCATTATTTTATCAGACAGGAAGTAACAAACAATTTAGCTGTCATCTGATCATGTAAAATGTGTTTTGGAGATTTCATCATGCATCTCATCAGAATAGAGGAATATTTTGTTCTTGTGTTATCTTTAAATTAGATCCAAACCCCCAACGTAGATCGAATTATATCCTCTATTTGGAGATGAGGACAAAGCTTGCCTTCTTACATATTTAAGATAACATGACTTTTAGTCAATTTCTGGCAAACGCTGGATAATATGACCCCCAAAACACAACCGATACTATTTATTTTAAATGTAAACCCTGATAACAAGTTATTTTATCAGGCTTAACAAAGCTTCTATGCCCACTGGGGGTATAGCTGCTTCTTATGTATGACTCATCAAATAAATATGGAGACTCTGCACACATGTACATATATGACTCACTTCACCCAGTATGTTTCCTTCCGGGTCATTAACCTCGTTGACTTTATTTGCTTTGAAGCTGCAGAGATGTTTTCTTCTGTTTCATCTTCCTTACTTTATCTCAGCGATTGTCTCTGATTCACCAATTACTTCTAAATTTGCATATCAACCCGGAGGAGGTACCTCGGATCTTTTATCCTTCATTTTGTCCAAGTTATCAAAACCGGGAAGAACACACTTTTAGTCTTTGCAAGGTCAGACATACACGACACAGCACTCTGCACAGTTGCTCACCTCGGGCTGCCATCATCTAATATCCAGATTTGCTTAAATGGACGCCATCATGGCCCCAAATACAATGTATTAACAGGATTATGCTTTTAAGGCTTCATACTCAAATTTGCAGATCTGATATGCTGCAGTGAGGTGACGTTGGGATACATAGATGTATATTTTTCCCTATTTTCCTACGGTGCAGACATACTGCCACACTGTGAGTGGAAGTGATGTTGGAGGGGAACATGACAGGAGAGTGCAAAGTATGTGAGAGCACTTTCGATAAAGTGTAGTCACAGGAGGGCCGGTGAGGGATCGCATTCTAATGTGAAAATCACTCATGTTGATTCACTGAGCCTGAATGTGTGTGAGTGTGTGTGTGCCTCCTGTTTGTGAATGCATGTGTGTCTTTATTCCTGTTTTCCTCCTCTCCCTATAAAGCAAACGGTGCCTCATTCTCTTCACATTTCTCCGAGCATAAACAACAGTAGTTAAAACGTCTAAAGTCAATTAAGCCAAATTGTGCTTATAGATTTGGGTTCCAGGAAACGAGGCACCCCGAGGACTCATTTGCTGATAATCTAGTGTACTTGTTTAGCGAGAAAAATGTGATCTGTTTCCAGACTGTCATCTGCTCATTTGTTGCTTAAAATATGGTTCCATCTGGCCTGCTGTTTATTTGTATTTGCTGTGTGTGTGTGTGTGTGTGTGTGTGTGTGTGTGTGTGTGTGTGTGTGTGTGTGTGTGTGTGTGTGTGTGTGTGTGTGTGTGTGTGTGTGTGTGTGTGTGTGTGTGTGTGTGTGTGTGTGTGTGTGTGTGTGTGTGTGTGTGTGTGTGTGTGTGTGTGTGTGTGTGTGTTTACCTGCCAACCCAGCTTTGTAAATGCACATTTTAAGCCTTGCTCTGCTGACAGATGTGTCTATTCCCCTGCCAGGTACTGCATACAGATCAACAAAGTGTGTGTATGATAACAGTATATGTGCATGTTAGTTTGCCTGTGTTGGTATGTTTCAGTGTGTATGGGAAGGAGATGGGAGGGGGGGGAGGTGGAGAGGGCTGATGTACTGAGGCTAGAGAGCATCTCGCCTGACGTTACATAAACAAGGAGTGACAGCCGGGGAGGAAGGGGGGGAGAGAGGTGGTGGGGGAGGAAGTGAGTCATGAAAAGGGTGATGAGAGAGGCTCGACAGTAGAGAGGCGATCAGGAGGAAGATCCAGTCACAGTCACTGTACTGTCAGCGTTCCCTTTATGGGTTGGAAATGTGCTTTAAACGCAATCACTTGTAGGAATAATACAGTTATTGTCTGGATAGATATGTGTTAGAAGTAATAGCATCAAGTATATGGTACTTATAGCTGTTATAGTGATGGCCCTATAGTCAAATATGCAGTTTGGAGGGTTTGGAGGGTTACTTGTAATAGTAATAGTAAATGTAATACGTAACAATAACTAGTTACACGTCAACAAATGTAATCAGTAATCTAATCTGAGTATGAAAATATAAAGTAATGTATCCTGATTACTTTCCGTTACTTCTGGATTACCCCGATATCACATGCAATGCAAATAAAAACAAGAGTAAATAAATATCAATAAGATGTTTTTAACTTAAGTGTATGTAACAATGTAACCTTAGAAAATAAGAAACAAGATATTCATATAAAAAATGTAGTAACAATTTTGAATAAATCAGGTGTCCACCTACTGCATTAAAGGTCCCATGTCATGCTTTTCCGGTTATTACCCGTCCCCTTGTGTGTTATGCAGCTTTTTCTGCATGTAAACGGTCTGCAGAGTCACAAACCCTCAAAGTACACCCTGTAGCGAGTAAAACTCTAACACAGAAAAGACCTGTCTATGCTGCCCCAGAACGCCTCGTTGGAGATTTTTCTTTTTCCATTTGTTTCTTCCGGGAACCTCGTGAGGTAACGAGTACCCCATGGACCAATCCGCGGAGCCTTTACGTTATGTCCGTGAAGCCGTTACGTTAAGTCCGCAGATTGGTCCAAATGGACCAATCTGCGGACTTCCTCACACACACACTCAATCTTTTCTCAGCTGCAGCTCTGCGGATTTCTCAGCCTGAGACGGCGGGATGCGGCGAGGCTGTGAGTCTGTGTGTAAGCACACACACAGACTCACAGCCAGGCTGCGGGTGTGTGTGTGTGCTCTGGCTGGTTTCGGGATGGGTTTCGCTGTGTCTCGCTGTCTTGCCGACCCGGAAACCACACCAGTAAGCCAGCTCACACTGTCCGCTCCTCGCAGCAGCGAGCCTCGCAACGTCCCGCCAACACGGCACCCAGACCCCACGCAGCATTCTCATCTGTTTGTCATTACTGGTGTCATTTTCTGGTTGCTAACGCCATTGTAACACATAATCACTGATGTTCCGCTGTAACGGTAGTGGGCTCATCAGAACAGAGTGGGCGAGCTGACCAATCAGAGCACAGTGGGCTCATAGGGAGGGGGGGGGCAGGAGCTCCAACAAGCCGTTTAGGACAGAGAGTGAATACACATACTATACAGAGATGCTGTATGAGAAACCAATGTGAGTTTGGAAAATTGCACAATGTAAATCTATTCTAGTCGACCTCAACAATGGAATTATGATCAGTAGAAATGGCCATGACATGGGACCTTTAAAAGATAAATGTATTTCAAATAAATAAACATTAAAGTTGCCTAAATTTAAACCATAAAGAAAATGAATGCAGTACGTCTCCCTATGATAAATAGATATTTATTTTAAATGTAGTGTAACACTGGAATCCTACTACTAATCTCTATTTAAAAAATAAATGTAACAGTAATCTGATTACTTATTCATTTTACTTAATTGTTATCGAATACAGTTACCTCTTTTTGTATCCTGATCACGTAATCTCGTTACATCCATTACTCTCCAAGCCTGGCAGTATGAATATTAGCAGTGACACAGATATTACAGTATAGTAAATGGTTTACATAAATCATGTTAGAATAGTTATATACAAGTAGCAGCAGCTATATTAGCAGTACTCATAATAGTAATAGAAGACAAGTGCATATACAACTAGTAATGGTTATACGACTTTAATAGAAAGTGAAATAATAATTTGTAAAAAGTAATTCTCCCAATGATTCTGATCCGCTTCAAAATGTAACAGCTTCATCTTTGGCCCATGCTTCATGTTTTTACGTAATCCTGCTGACAAACAAACCATCAAACTAAACAAACAGTAATCATTTCCTTCTTGGCGGACGGATTTAATAAAAGACAGAAAGAAAACAATAAAACAGATAAATAAAAACAAGGATAATTGTGACTTATTGTTGACTAAATAACAGTGTGTGGTTGAAAAGGAATAACCAATTAGAAAAAAATAAAACTATTTAAAAATGCAGACTCTGGTATTCTGAGCCCCGAATCTCGTCTTTACTGACAGCAAAAAGACAGACATAATACAATTAAGATAAAGAAGTAAAAACTAATTGTGGCTTAATATTGAGTAAAACCATAAAGCTTCCAGTTTCCCAAGACCCTGCTCTCGCCCTGACAAAAAGACGTGGTGCAGGCATGAAATATACTTCCGATTGAAATATATTGTTTTTAAAATCGTTCTCTATGAAAGGATTAAATGTTGTGATTATTGCACAAACTCTCAAGAGACTGTGCTGTATAGGGCCAATGAGAAGCAGTAATGGTTGTTTCATTTGATTTGCTTCACTGCTATAGCTCTTGCTTTACTAGTAGTGGTAGTACTAGTTTAAGCACTATCACAGCACTAAATGGAATAGTACTTCATGGTATTTTCATCGTTAGCAGGCTTGTGCGTCAGGCAGTATTGTAGACTCGGCAATCGGACTGTTTTCTGCCAGAGCAGCATGTCTCAGTCAAGTACTCACCTCATTACCTCGCTTTGTTCACAGTCGTGTGTGTGTGTGTGTGTGTGTGTGTGTGTGTGTGTGTGTGTGTGTGTGTGTGTGTGTGTGTGTGTGTGTGTGTGTGTGTGTGTGTGTGTGTGTGTGTGTGTGTGTGTGTGTGTGTGTGTGTGTGTGTGTGTGTGTGTGTGTGTGTGGTGTGTGTGTGTGTGTGTGTGTGTGTGTGTGTGTGTGTGTGTGTGTGTGTGTGTGTGTGTCGTGTTTGACTGTAGTATAACAAATAAATGATCAGAAGAGACCATTTTTCAATGGGCTGATGGGAACATAGGCGTAGACTATCTTGAACTAGTGTGGATAGGTTTGAAGTACCACATGAAAGACGAACCCAGCGTAAAAAGAAGGGCTTTAATTTCATAGTTCGATTATCATTCCACTTTATACCTCGAGTGAAAACATCAAAGCAAGGAAAACTTTAAAAACTCCTTTCCAAAGTCACCTTTTACTTGAAGACCTAATTCTAGCCCAAAATTGCCCACTTTGTATTTATCCCCCCGAACTCGTTGGACAGAATATTTGTGCTATTTTAATTAAAGTCATTAAGCTGGTAATAGGAGGATTTTCTGCTCTGGAGGATTGTGTACGTGTAAGTGTGTGTGTGTGTCTTTGCAGCTGTGGTACTGGCTGTATAGATGTTACTAGGAAGCAGAGTGGGCTTTTATCCCAGGTGTACATCCACATATTGCTGGTGAAAGGGCATCCAATACCAATATGTTATATAATTATGTATTTTATTTCTGTGTCTTCCTTTCCATTTCTAAACCACTTCCTCCCTGTGTTTTACAGTTGTGTGGTGGATGAGATGGACTTCTCAGGCATGGAGCTGGACGAGGCTCTGAGGAAATTCCAGGCCCATATTCGTGTCCAGGGAGAAGCCCAGAAAGTGGAACGTCTTATCGAGGCCTTCAGGTAATTATAAAAGTGGAAGCTGCCGTGAGAGTCTGACCTTATCTCTTCTTATAACCACCGGTGTTACTAAGGGAGCACATTATCTAACATTTCTACAGGTTTCTTAAACTGTGTTTTTTTGTTGTTTTAAACACTTCCCTAAATCTCTTGCCGGATTTTTCATATAAAGTTTAAAATACAGACAGGCCCTCCCTTCCATACTCTTCCATGGGACTAGGGTCAATAGCAACTTACAAATAATAGTTTGATCCTGTTTGAATTTGACTATTAATAACATGATTAAAAAACATGAGCATGATGATTTTTCACTCAAAAAGGACACAGGTTGTTGTAGGTTTGTTGTTCAATTTAGTTTTGTGTGTAACTGCTCAGTGAAATACATCCTTCGTCTCACACAATATACGTCTCCTACATGCTAGCTAGCTCTGCTTATCTTAGCTATGACTAACTCATGTGTTTTAAGCCTGGGTGTCAAAATCCTCTCTTGTTACAGTCTGACGACCTCCTAACCTATCAAGCTCTCCTCTCCTCTTTCTCTTCTTCGATCTCTCAGGCAAAAAGCACTTTCTTTCAAGATAAGATCCATTCTTCCTATTCCAATCCCAAAAAACTATTTTCTATCTTCTCCACCCTCCTGGACCCCCCCAGAGCCCCTCCTCCCTTCTTCCAAGCGACTTTGTTAACTGCTTTGAAAAAAAGGTTGATGATATTCGCTCTTCTTTTTCCAACTCACCATTAGTCACCACTGGGTCACCAGTCCCAACGTTCACCCACACACTAACCTCCTTTTCCCCTCTCTCTCCAAATGAGGTTCTTACCCTCATTACTTCTGCCCGTCCTACCACCTGTCTTCTGGACCCTATCCCCTCAAACCTCCTTCAAACTATCGCTCCTGATATTCTACCGTTTCTCACCCATTTCATCAACACTTCTCTAACTTCTGATCACTTTCCAAACACTCTCAAGGAGGCAAGAGTAAACCCTCTCCTAAAGAAACCCACTCTCAACCCGTCCGATGTTATAAACTACAGGCCTGTCTCTCTCCTCCCGTTCCTGTCTAAAACACTTGAACGCGCTGTCTTTAAACAACTCTCCTGTTATCTCCATCCGAACAACCTTCTTGATCCGCACCAGTCTGGTTTCAAGGCAGGTCACTCCACAGAAACTGCTCTCCTTGCTGTCTCTGAGGAACTGCACACTGCTAAAGCAGCCTCCCTCTCCTCTGTCATCATCCTTTTGGACCTGTCTGCTGCATTCAACACGGTGAACCATCAGATCCTCCTTCGCACTCTCCAAGAACTTGGAGTTTCAGGCTCTGCACTTTCCCTCCTCACCTCATACCTCAAAGACCGCACCTACAGGGTAACTTGGAGAGGGTCCGAGTCCGACCCTTGTCAATTAACTACAGGGGTCCCTCAGGGCTCTGTCCTTGGTCCCCTCCTCTTCTCTCTGTACACAAACTCGCTCGGATCGGTCATTAGCCCGCATGGTTTTTCATACCATTGCTACGCTGACGACACCCAATTAATTATGTATTTGCCCCGTTCAGAAACCCAGGTCGTCGCACGCATCTCTGCTTGTCTAGCAGACATCTCTCAGTGGATGTCTGCTCACCACCTCAAGCTCAACCTTGACAAGACTGAGCTGCTTTTTCTTCCGGGAAAAGAGTGTCCCACTCTTGACCTAACAATCAACATCGGCCCCTCTGTTGTTTCCCCGACTCAGACTGCAAGGAATCTGGGTGTGACCCTAGATAACAAACTGTCCTTCACTGCAAACATCGCTGCAACAACCCGCTGCTGCAGATACACTCTTTACAACATTAGGAGGATACGTCCCCTCCTGATCCAGAAAGCGACGTAACTTCTGGTCCAGGCTCTCGTCATCTCACGCCTAGACTACTGCAACTCCCTCCTGGCTAGTCTACCTGCATGTGCCATCCGACCTCTGCAGCTCATCCAGAATGCAGCGGCTCGTCTGGTCTTCAACCTTCCTAAATTCTCCCACACCGCACCGCTCCTCCGCTCCCTTCACTGGCTTCCAGTAACTGCTAGAATCCACTTCAAGACACTGGTACTAGCGTACCATGCTGTGAATGGATCTGGCCCTTCCTACATCCAGGACATGGTTAAACCATACACCCCAGCACATGCACTCCGCTCTGCATCAGCCAAACGGCTCGCTGCACCCACACTACGAGGGAGACCCAAGTTCCCATCAGCAAAAACACGTTGGTTTGCTATCCTGGCTCCAAAATGGTGGAATGAGCTCCCCATTGACATCAGGACAGCAGAAAGCTTACACATCTTCCGGCGCAGACTAAAAACTCATCTCTTTCGACTCCACTTCGAGCAATAAAATGACTAACAAAGCACTTATATACTAATAAAGCACTTATATACTAACAAAGGACTGGCTTATCTAAAGCCAGTTGAGTAGCACTTGAAATGTTTTGCCTCTATGAAACCTGATGTACGTATATGATTCTGTTTTCTTCAAGTTTGTATCTTCTTGGTCGAATGCATTTATTGTAAGTCGCTTTGGATAAAAGCGTCAGCTAAATGCAATGTAATGTAAGTAAGGGATAATGTGCAGCGACGCGGTCATTATGGGGAAAAGAACACCCGACAGGCTGATCAGGAGCTGATCTAGATCTGCGCTTATTACATGGCCACATTCTCAACAAAGTAACGATATGACTCCCAATATTAATTGAAATGCTTTTATAGATTTAGAAAATGTTTTTATTGATTTAAAAAATAGTACGCTATTATTTATTTAAAATGACATGCATCCACTAAGAAAAATAGTCCGTTGTTACTGTTTGAACTAACGTAGCAACGGCAGGAACTGCTTCGATAGCGTTTTTGAGGAGCTTTTTGATTACAGATTTGAAAACATCGTTGCTTGCTTTAAAAGTAGCACTATTCATTATGTCAAACCTGGGAAAGTATCTAGATACCCCTGCCCTAATGCCAAAGTAACTGGCAACTGAATATGTGTTGCCGTTTGATGTCTATGTCTGGACCGTTGCGTAAAAAGGAGGGTTTCTGCCCCCTTACTTCTCCGCTGTTTTTCTTGTCCCAGTTTGAAAAGCCAAACTGTATACACTGTATACAGTTAAATCGACCGAACTTCTTTCTGCAGATGTAAGCGTCCTTAACAACGGTCAATAAGTCCTTGACAGCGGTCTGTCTGTTCTGGATTAACAACGTGTCACGTGTTCTGAATTGGCCAATCAGAATCGAGTATTCAACTAAGCCATAATGTAATGTAATGTATTATACTGCAGCTGTTAGAGTCTTTCTTATCATGCAAAGTTATCTTTAACATTTTCAAACATCAAATGTGTTATTCATGAAACAATTCAAACTGATACTAATATTCAAACGCATTGTTGTGCAGAGGGAAAACAGTTGCTTTAGAGTCGGATATGAATATTCATCATCTGGTGTGTTATGCAAAATATCCCTCATTTGTCCTTCTCGTGTCATTTACTTTCTACTGTAATATAAATCACGGTGTGTAGATATTTGCACGGATATACAAAGTGATATGAAACACTGTCACTCAAGCATAAACTCTGAGCCAGACTTGTCTTGCAGAGCTTTGCAATTCACAGGTTTTTTTATCATTAAATATGCCTACAGTACATCGAGTTTTGAAGCCGTGCTGAGAGGTGGATTTGTGATTCGTGAGATGCAAGCTCAGGCTTGTTTTAGTTTTTTCAGGAGCACTAAGCTATGCCGGACAAATAAATACACAGAGAAAAACAAGCTATGACTAGATTTAATCAGAATAAATGGAGAGCCATGATCGCAAAAACAGATAAAAATGGAAATGCACACATAAATCCCACTGTTATCTAAGAGCAGTTGGGAAAAGTACTAAGATATTCTACTAGAGTGTAAGAATAATCTGTCTAAATGTCCTGGAATCAAAATGTTACTGAAGTAAAAGTACAAAAGTATCAGCATCAAAATATACCAAAAGTAAAAGTACTTGGTCCATTTCAGAATAATATATATGATATGTTTTATAATGATTGATCATTAACGTGTTATCAAAGCTGGTAAAAGTGCAGCTAGTTTGAATGACTTTGTATACTGCAGGGTAGCTTGTGAATTTACTCCAGGTGGAACTAAAGTCTGATTTAAGACTTGATTATATTTCACATCATTCATCCAAATCTGTGAAGTAAAGGTATTAAATAAATGTAGTGGAGTAAAAGTACACCATTTACCTCGGAGTTGTACTGGAGAAGAAGTAGCAACACATTCAAATACTCAAGTTAAGAACCTAAGATTAAGTACAGGACTTGAGTAAATCTACTAAGTTACTTTGCACCACCGTCCAGTAGTAATGGATATCTGTTACTGAACATAAAGACTCTTGAATCTTGATTCCTCTCACATGATCTCAGCAGTCGAGTCACGCTGCCTCACATTTCTTTTTTGCTTACCTGCTAGTTTTCACAATGCAGCCCCCATCCCAATAGCCAGCGGGCGTGTCATTTCTAGACACAATTTGTGACGTGGAGACAATTTAGCATGCAGCTGCGGCTCTGTGTGTTAACGCTAACTGTTCTCCCCTCCGGAGTAACAACCACCTGTCACAGTTGTCCAGGTGCCCAATGAGGAGAGGAGCGTTGGTATTGTCATAGTCAGCGGGCAGAGAGGCTGGCACTGCTAATGTTTGGACATCAGGCTGGCTCTGCATGTTATTAGGAGGGAGAGATAGTGAAGGGGGGGGGGGAAGGTTTATAAATAACCAGCGTTGCGTAACCGCCACTGCCTCTCTGCGCCTGCCTCCCCTTCTCCTGGGCTTTGATATGCCTCCAAACACACACAGTAAGTGAGGAGCAGTCTCAGTATCTGCTGCGTCAGTGTGCTAATGAATGAGCAACCATGATCCCAGTGCTGCAGTTAAACCTCTGTTCATATGTTCATGCCTGCATCACAGTGTAGTACACACACATCCTCATACACACACGCAGCAGG